AAAAAAAAAAAAAAAAAAAAAAAAAAAAAAAAAAAAAAAAAAAAAAAAAAAAAAAAAAAAAAAAAAAAAAAAAAAAAAAAAAAAAAAAAAAAAAAAAAAAAAAAAAAAAAAAAAAACACAACCACATTATTTGCTCACCTTAGGAAGACTCTTACTTTCTTGTCTGAGTGGGTATGTTTGCTCAGAAGATTCACTGACTATTCCTGAACCATTATAGCGTGTTGAGTTGTTAGAACGATACTGTGAGCCAGCTACTGGGTACACGTTTGCAACAACATCAGGTCGGTAAGAGCAGCTGGAGTATTCACGGAAGGCAGGATCTCTCAGACCACTAAGTGATGGACATTGAGAAAGAAATTAAAGTCATCCTGGTGCAAGCCTCCAGCATCTACTTGTTGCCTAGACAAACACATCGTTCCTTGGCTAAAGAATTTGTTTAACAAGAAAGCTCTGTTTCAAAAGAAAACTATTCCTTGTTATTGTACTTAAGCATTCACTCTGATACACACCCCTTTAAAAAATAATCGATTTTGTTTTGTGAAAACATGTAGCCAGTTAAGCAAGTATCTTAAAGTACAGAAGTTATCAATATCCAAATTTCAAAGCTAGTCTGCTCTGAGGTCATAGTTCTCATGCCTTCATATTTATTTTCAGTAGGCTTTTTCTTGTGAAACAAACTAAAAGCACAGTGTAACGACAGGACACGAGTCACACGGTTGACTGCAAAAAACCCAAATGTTAAAACCTATTTAAAATGCCATAATAACAAAGTAGGAGTATAACATTTCATGGAGCATGAAACATGTTTGAGATATGACGTAGACTTCTAAGATAATAATTAACTGACCTGCATTTAACCATAAAAATTTATGAAAACACAACATCTAGGGCATAACTCTTTTCTTTCTAAAGCTCCCTTTCACTTTCCATCCACGCTTTGTCCAGAAAGTATACACTGAGTCCAGATTTGATTAGGGAGAATGGAAATTTCTCAGCTTAAGAAAGCTGCATTTAGTTTTTAAAGCTGTTCACTGGAATTCTGGGTAGGTAATGACAGAGAAACTTTCCCATCAGAACTTCAGATAGCACATTTCGTGCTGCCTGTTGCAATTCTGAGGGACTGCAATCAAAACAATGTTTATAATCAAGTTTATACAGAGAAGAAACATAACAAATAAGACTCAAAAATATAGCTATGTCCAACTCCCAACAAGGCAAAACATTCATCAGAATATTGCTGCTAGTTTTTTGTTTTGTTGGTTTTTTTTAATATGAATTGATTTAATGCTAATGCTGTGGTTTTCCCCTAAAGCATATATCAGGCCATACTCACCTCAACATTAAATCTGTATTACAAATGAAAAGATGTTGCAAATACTGAGATTTCCCTGCAGGATAAAATGAAGGGCTGCAATGACTGTGTTCACTAAAGCTGTACTTGTAAGGATGCATTGGATAATTAATCCAATGCTTGGCGTCCTGAGAAGCAATGAGGGAACTCTGTAACACCATCAGATTCTTACGGGACTCAGTTATTTCCCACCCTACTATGTAGGCTTTTTTCCAGTCTGCTTTGGGTTTAAGTCTACCATGAATGCCTTTTCTCAGGCCCTAACTGAAATTAAAAACAAAACAAAACCAAAACCCAAGAAAACAAACAAAACAAAACAAAACAAGAAACCCCAAGACTTGTAGAAACCCACAGCACTCTTACTAAAACTGCCTTTCTGGGGATGCAGAGGAGATCCAGGTAAGGCCCCACATATTAAATGCTTTACAGCATGAGAAGCCTTCTTGAAGACTCCTTTCTCTTCCTTTTATACAACTGTATCTACCCCAGATCAGTCATTGTGTAACCCTTCTTTCACCCAAGGACTGGATTCAGCCCCTTCCAAAGCACAAACAAGCCACATCAATCACTAGAGACCACCAAACCCTCCTTCATGCTCTGTAACAACACAGGGAGCAAGATACCAGATACATGCCCAGAGAACACAGATGTAAAAAACTAAATCATGAAGGCAAAGCAGAAGCATTTCTACAGTTAGAATGCATCTGAGCCTTTGACTTCAGATGAGCAGTCAATGTCCAAAAAAAAAAAACACACCCAGAAGGTTAAAATCCCCCAAAGAAATAAGATTCAGAAAAAATGTACATACTTATCCAAAGGTGGTTCCTGAACAAATGGGTAGCATGTAGTTAAGTACCTAGGAAAGACACATGCTTCTGAGGGTTCTGACCATGCCACAGCTACCGCCGCATGTTTTGGAACAAATGGTTTGACCTCTGCTGACAACTTGATGCCCTGAGAAACAAAACGGGTTTTGGCTACATGCACTTGGAGATTAATGTTATAGGTGAAAAATACTCAAGTCTTGTGACCCTTTAAGTGCCACTGGAAAGTGTTAGTTTGCTCTCTCCTATCGAAACATGCAAAGCAACAAACTCACCAAAAAGAAATGGAGGGAGAGGGTGAAAAAAAAAAAAAAAAACAACCAAGGAATCCTAAAGAAAAAATGGGATTGCTCTGAAAAGTTATTTAATACCCTCATTTATCATGAAACACAAAGGTCAGTTAGATAAAGGACAGTGGCTTGCTTAAGATAAGATGCAGCAAATGCAAATATGCAAATTCTTCATATTTGAACAGCAGAAGCTAAAATTCATAAATATATTAGCATTACTGCTAATCAAACTCTGTAAGTATGTAACAATCAAGTCTTTGTGCAAATCTGTATTTTAAAGCTGTCTGCCTAAAACCAACACCTCATTAAACAGCCTTCTTGTTTCTGGCACAGCACAAACTTATTAGGGCAAGTTTTCCACTTGTTCTGAATTGCCATCGAGCTAATCTGGGTATGTATATGTGGAAGGACGATGAAATGAGACTCGAGGTGCTGACTGCCGTGTCACCAAAACACGCAGCTGTGACCGCAGGCTGATGTGTAAGAGCCCCCAGCCTGGCCAGTGTGCACAGCGCCGGTAAGAGCCCGGGCACCGATCTCTAGAGCGGCTGGGACGGCCAACTGTCCTTGCAGCACTCCCCAGCCCGAGTAAGAAGAGCTTTCCACACCTGAGCTCGCTGGAAGTTACGCCTGGGGTTCCCCATCCCAAGCGGTGGGGAGCGACTCGCCGCGCTCCAACCTCAGCGCCCCCTCCCCCGGTTCTGCCCCTCCACAAGGACTCTTCCCCCCGGTTCTGCCCCTCCACAAGGACTCTTTCCCCCGGTTCTGCCCTTCCAGCAGGACTCCTCTCCCTGTCTCATACCCAAGGCTGTCCTGAGGCGCCGCACCCTGCCCGGGGAGGCGCAGGGGCGGCTGGCGGGGCAGACCCCGGGGCAGGGAGCGGCAGCCGGGCAGAGCCGGGCAGGGGGGCAGGGGATGCGGGCACCGGGAGGAGCCGGGCAGGGAGCAGGGGCTGCGGGCCCGTGGCCGCCCTTACCTCGCCGGCTCGGCCCGAGCGCGGCCGCCCCTCGGCCGACATGGCGGGGCCCGGGCCCGGCCCCGCGCGGCGCGCGGTGATGACGCCCCAGCAACGGCGCAGCGGGCGGTGCGGGCCGGGCCGGGCCGGGCCGGGGGTGAGGAAGTCTCTAAATAGAGGCTCGGTGTATAATCAGTTTTCTAATTGGAATTTATTACGTGATAAAAGCAAGCAGCACGCTGGGCAACAGAAAGATTCAGCACACCTGACAGGGTATTCGGCTATTGTTTATTCTAGCTGCTTCATGCGTATTTATTACATGATATACATGTGTGTGCGCTTTATGCTGGTGACGGTGCTCTCGTCGCCCACACAGAAGCAGCTCTGCAGCGTTTAACATCCTGCTTTGCAGAGGCTGCTGAGCTCTGTGGGCTGGAAGTCAGCTTGAAGAAGACAGAAGTTTTGTATCAGCCTGCACCTTGGGAAGTCTTCCATCATCCCCATATCACCACTGGTGCAACAGAGCTTAAATCAGTCCAGCATTTAATTACCCGAGAAGCATCATCTCCTCGGACGCTAAGGTTGATGCTGAAATTGAAAACAGGTTAGCAAAGGCACAAAGAGCTTTCGGTAAACTCCATAAAAGAGTGTGGCAAAACAAACACCTGAAGAGAAGTACAAAGATCAGTGTTTCCAGAGCCATTGTACTGTCTACTCTTTTATTTGGGTCTTAATCGTGGGTCATTTACCGCCACCTCTTGCGTCTCTTAGAACGCTTCCATCAGCGCTGCCTCCAACATCCACTGGACTGACTATGTGACCAACACGTCTGTCCTTGAACAGGCAGCAGTCACGAGCATTGAGGCCATGCTGCTGAGAACTCAGCTGTGCTGGGCAGGGCACGTCTCCAGGATGCAGGACTGCCGCCTCCCTAAGACCATGCTGTGTGGGGAACTTGCCCCTGGCTGCTGCAAGAGAGGAGCCCCGAAGAGAAGATACAAGGACTGCCTGAAACAATCCCTCAGCCTTGGCCATACTGATCATCACTGCCTGGAGACACACCATCTATAACGCTGCTGCTGCTGCTTTTGAGAACACACGCAGGATCACTCTCGAGGAAAAAAGAATCGGGTCTCGCGTCGATATCTCCTGGGGAGTCTTTCTGCTGTGCCTTCTGCAACCGGACTTGTCTATCTCGCACTGGCTTTTTCAGCCATCAGGGTGCTTGCAGCAAGCGTGGGTAGAGCCCTTCTCAAATCTTTGTTCACGAAGCCCAGCCACGATGATGATGATGATGATGACATGTACATATACCATATGTTTATTTTCACAACTACAGCTAGGTTGTTACCTCTACAGCAATGATAGTTCTCCTATAATTCACGCATTCTTAGACTACAAGATGCCAAAAAATCATATAATTCATTTTAGGAAAGCAGAGATGATTTAAAGCTGATGGCCTTACACATGGTCTGCTTTATTTCTTTAAGGAGGTGTAATTAAGTTTTACAATGTTTTTTCTTTTATTGACACAAATTTATGGCTATGTATATGACACTGGTACTAGCAGTTAACTGAACAAGCATAAAGACATCACCGTGCAATCACAGAATCATATAATTAAGTGGGTTGGAAGAGACCTCCCAGATCACCAAGTCCAACGCTTGATCCATCATCATGGCTAGGCTTCGTGAATGAAGATTTGAGAACCCTTGATCCAACCCCACTGTGATTACCAGATCATGGCACTCAGTGCCACATCCAGCCTCATCTTAAAATCCTCCAGGGATGGTGAATCCACCACCTCTCTGGGCAGCCCATTCCAATGTCTGATCACTCTGTCACTCCACACTCCCAGGTCCCTTCCTGCCTGGCTGCTCTCCAGCCACTCTGTCCCAGCCCATGGTGCTGCAGGGGGTTGTTGTGGCCAAAGTGCAGGACCCAAAACTTGGCCTTGTTGATCCTCATCCCATTGGAATCAGCCCAACTCTCCAGCCTGTCCAAGTCCCTCTGCAGAGCCCTCCTGCCTTCCAGCAGATCCACACTCCCCCCAGCTTGGTGTCATCTGCAAATTTGCTAGTGTAGTACTGAGCACAGAGTTTATACCAAGTAATCATTAATAGCTTCACCGAGTTAACTGAAGTAGGTACTCACAAAATGTTAGCGAACGAATACTTGTTTTGACCAGTAAATTAGAACTCCAAGCATTGAGGCATTAAAATGAGTTTATTTCTTAAGCCTACTTGCTACTAAACAGAACTATTGAATTTGAATATACTACACTACAGCAGAAACAAAGAGTGCAAAAATCACGGAACACAGATAACAAGTGAACATCTAACCACCAGAATGTGCAACACAAACATGAAGCAATTCAGTTTGGAGAGGCACTTACATTGACAGTAAAGATAAAGTCATTCACTCTGAACATTATAGCAGCCTACTTGAAATTTCACTTGACTGAGCTTTCTTGCTGTGAATAATACAGCTCATGCACAGGTTTGGATGTATGTTTCGTAAATTTAAAGTATTCACTGAATACTACCAACATATATACACTCATATACATAGTTCCAGAAGATTGAAGAGGCGATGGCTCATTTCTGCTTCTCCTTTGTAAGAGGTCTCCTGAAGAGCAGAATATGAGGTTCTGTGGAAAGAAAATCGAAAGCATCAGTCTGTCCCTCAAGGCTTGTTTGAAGGGATTTCTTTCCTTTTGGAAGTTTGGGATGATAGTTGAAGCTTGCTATCGGATTAAGTAGGTCAAGAAGTACAAATATGGCTCCACATGTAAAATTAACAGACCAACTTTGCAGTAGCCTTATAACAGTCAAACAGGTGTTTTTTAGTTTTATACCAAGTGGTAACGGTATCATAAGCTTAAGATACTTACAGGAAGGAAGTATTGGAAAAAATAGAGAATATTTTTAGTTAGTACCAAGTGTCTCTTTACATTAGGCTATTTGATGAACTCTTCTGAAAACTTAGACTAACAAGTTAGGTAAACTGTTAGCTACATCATGTCATGTATCAACAAAATTCACTTCAGTCAATATAGCCAGCTTACGTTATTATTGATGTGACTTAATCCTAAACACCTCCAGAAAAGTCTAAAGTATCAAAGGCAACAAAGTAAGGGAAACACTGGAAAGGTTACACTAATTTCTTCACCTGATTCTTCAGAGATTTGGACCTCCAGTTGCTGCTGCAGTTCACGTATCACCTGTTACTTTTTAGTCAGGCTTGTCTGTGGTAAGTTACCTGGCAAGGCTCTTCTCACAGTGCATCCTCATGGGTAGAGTTTGGGGCTTCACATCCCATAAATTAAATGAAATACTGATTTTTCAGTAGGCTCTGTAGCTAAAGTTTAAACTATACTGTGGATTTTTCAGTGCACTAATAGAGGACCTAACCTACATAAGTATTAAGGTTATGTTGCCTTTGTTGAAAAAGGGGCTAAAATAGCAAGAAGATAAGCAGGAGTCTAAACATTCAGTATTTAATTCCAGCTGGATTCCACAGCACAAGGAGTTACACATTACACACTTCAGCTAAGTACTAGGCAGTTAATGTTTTAGACACTTTTTTTCATCTAACTCTGTTCAGATGTGCTCACCTGGTGCATGGATCATATAGTGAACCCAGCCAAGACTCTGCTGAACACCAAGACGCCTCCACTCTTCTTCAGACATCAGATGAGATTTTGGCACTTGTTCGGAAAGCTCTGGTGGCAGCATCACGTGCCTGTACAGATTTAATTATTAAACACACACACTACACTAGAAGAAAACAGCTCTGCAGCGAAAGCAAGCAACTTATGAATGCTTACTTTTCCTATAAACAAAAAAAGCCTAGGGTATATGACTCTTTCCACGACTTTGATTATGAAACCTGTCTCAGAATCGAGCTTAAAATCACTTATGGCTATTAAACATTACATCTGTAATGCAACTAAACACTGGAAGCCAACCTGCATTCTAGAGGAGATTAATTCTCCTTCACGCTCCATTTATATAAGTATGCGTTCCTGGCAAGCGGCGGCCATATCAGCCGCTTGAAAAAGTATGGACTGTGGACTTCTAAAAATATTTGTAATACCGCTTTTCAAGGAAGCCTCAGCAGCGGCCGGCGCAGCCCCATCCCAGGCTCTGCCACAACCGCCTCGCTCCGCGCCCTCCATCGCCTTGTGGCCGGGCCTGAGGGCCAGCCCACAGCAGCAGCCGCTCACCCGCCCCAGAGCCACGCGAAAACCCAGCACAGAGAGGCTCTGCTCGACGCGGCCCGACGCCCTCCCTGGCCCCGCTCCCCACAGGCAGGGCGCACGCCGCGGGAGCGGCGCCTGCCCCGAGCCGCTCTGCTCCGGCACGGCTCCTCCGAATCCCCGCAGCGGAGCCTCCCGCAGCCTCTCACCGATACTCGTACTGCTCGTCGAAGTATTTATCGGAATAGTAGATCTGCTTCTGGGCCATGGCGGCGGGAACGGCGGCAGGAGCCCTCTCTTTCTCTCTCTCTCTCTCCGTCTCTCTCTCCCCTCAGCCCTCACGGCCGTCTCGCGCACCAACTGCCCCCCGTCCGCGCCCCGCGCCATTTGAATCGGCCCGCTCGGCTCCCATTGGCTCCCGCCGGGGCCGGCCAATCGCGTGCCGCGCGCGCCGCGCCGCGTGACCCGCGCGCTACGCCCCCACCACCCCGCAGCCAGTCAGAGGGGACCGCTGCGGTGACGTCACGGGGCGGGGGGGCGCGGGCGCGCCGTGATTGGCCAGCGGCGGGCGAGGCGGGGCGGGGCTCGCGCCCTTCCAGCGCTTTCCAGGGCGCGGGGGATCGGTTGGGGGAGTGGTTGTTTCGCGCATGCGCGGCCCGGTGTGGGGTCGCGGTCCCCTCGGTCCCCTCACGGTGTCTGTGGGGCCGGTCTCGCCCCGCGGCGGCGGAGAGACCGCTCCGTGCGGCTCCGTGATCCCGCGGGGAGCGCCGTGCCCTGCTGGCCGTCTGGCTGCCGTGAGTCCGCGCTGTCCTGGGCTGCCGCGCTTCACGCGTGGCGCTCGCTGGCGGTACGGACAGACCGAGCGTGAGGGCGCTCGGGGCGGCGTGGGCGCTGGGGCGGCATTCCCAGCGCAGGGACCGCCTCCCCCAGCATACAGACCGCCTTCGCCGGCGCTCCGGAGTTTCATAAGGGGCGCCGTAGCTCCCGGGGTGTGGGTGATGCCGGTGCCCTGTGGGGTGAGACAGAGTGGGGGCATGACCAGGAAAGGCGATTTCACAGAACCATAAACAGTGGGAAGCGACCTTGAAGATCATCCCGTTCCAACGCTCTGCGTGGGCAGGGACACCCCAGACGAGATCAGGTTGCTCAGGGCCCCGTCCAGCCTGGCCTTGAGCACTGCCAGGGATGGGGCAGTCCACAGCCTCCCTGTTCCAGTGCCTCAGCACCCTCCCAGCAAACAGTTCCTCCCTGATATCTCGCCTGAATTCGCTCTCACGCTCCATGTCCCCCTGGCTGCAGTGTGCTGCTCTCTCCTTGCTGGGCCTCTGAAATAAAAGGAGATGAGGTTTTAAACTTTATGCTTTCGTGGTGCTGCCAGAAACACAGGTGCTGCCCGTGACAATCCATCTGTCTGGTAACTGTTGATGGAGAAAAAACCAGCCAAGGCTGTGTGAGGCATGGCATGCCTGGGTAATACAGATGATTTTCTTAGCAGCATTTGGCACTGCAGCCTGTCTTAAACGTTAAAGTTTAGGCCGGTCTCACACCTTACAACCACTAAAAGGAGTGCATATCATAATGTAGCAGTAATAGTTTTCTCTTAATTGGAGTGCATATTAGGGCTTGTTGGCACAGGTCTTTTACGGGTAAAATGAAGTCACTGTTTTCGAACTGCTGTATTTCAGTGTGTGAAATTCATTTAGCAAAGATCCTCAGCAGAAGTGTCGAGTGCAGTGTAACTGTAAAAGTACAAATCACCTGCAAGTTTTCTAAAGTATTAATTGGATTCTTCAAAACAGAGGGGTTTGGCGGTTTTTTATCTTAATTTCAGGCAGCACAACTGTTATTTTTAAATACTTGAGGCAGAGCGCACATGTCATTGTGTAATAATGAGGTAAAAAAGGTTAAATCATAATGACAAAGGGGTTTGCTGGATTGGAAGACATTTCTGTGCCTTCTTTATGAGCTTTCTGCTTATCACATGCGTATTCCACCTGAGAAAAAAAACGACCTTCATGTAAGGCTTTGTGTAAGCCTTCCTCCTACGAATTCATTCAGAAGTGAAGGTCTGACATCCCTTCAAAGCAGCTTTTCTTCTATTGCTAATACTCCTAATGATACCTGGTCAGAATTCTGAGGAGGATTAAAAGGATTCCTAGGTAGATATATTTTCAGTCTTATTTGAGATCCCTCTGATGAATTTGAAAATCCTTGTTTCTCAGGACTGACACAAGTGTGTTTGTAAGGCAACTGGCAGAGCTGACAAAACTAACATGTTGGTTTTAATAATCCAGGATTAGGAAATCTTATTTAGTATCCAAGTGTCATTTCAGCTTCCTTTTTCATCAGTTCTTTTCCCAGACAGGACTTAAAAGCATTGGTGAATGATAAATAATGCAACAGTACCAGGAACTTGTTAAGTTGCACTATTAATTTGCTATTTGCCAGCACCCTGAGGAAGGTGATCCATTCAGCACAAGTGAAGCTGGTGCTAGGGTACCGTGCCCAGCTCCGGGCTCCCCAGTGCAAGAGAAAGATGGTGCTGCTGGAAGGAGTCCAATGAAGGGCTAAAAAGATGAAAATGTGAAGGCAGCGTGAAAAGAAGACCAGAACCAGGCTCAATCCAGTGGTGCCCAGTGACAGGTCCTAGAGGCAGTGGGCACAAACTGAAACATGGGATGTTCTTTGAGGACATCAGGAAGCCTTTTTTTACTGTGAGGGTGATGGGGCGCTGGCAGAGGTTACCCAGAGAGCTGCTGGAGTCTCCATCTCTGGAGATCTTCCAAAGCCACCTGGGCATGATCCTGGGTAGTGGGCCCTAGGTGGCCCTGCTTGATCAGGGATGTTAAACCAGCTGACCTCCAGAGATCCACCCTGAGCCACACTGTGCTGGTACAGTGTGAAACAGGGCTCTTGAGCGTTTTCTTCAGAATACTGTTACACACAAAGGCTGTGTGTCACACTGCAAAGAAGAGAACAAACCGTTCTGTATCCAGTGTGGAGAGAACAAGAATGCTTGAACTTTATCAAGGCAGCTTTGTGCTGGACCTTAGGAAACATTTCCTACCTGTACCTAATTTAATTGTCTAGATCATTTTAGGAAAAAAAAAATACATCCTGCAGGAATATTTTAGGTGCAACTGATCCCCGCCTTTGATCAGTGGTTTCTTTGCAGCCTGCTTTCTGTGGTTGTGTCAGTTATGCTTTCCCATTGTAACATTTACCAATATGGAGTGTAGAACAAAAGTAATTTTTTTCCCCTCTCCAATGCTCTAGAATGATGTTTTAATTTTAATTGTAATATGTTTTCCTATTCAAAGAAGTTAGTTTCTGAAATTAAGATTATTAGGTGGTTGAATCGATATCCTGACTGAAGATTTTGAACCAGGTTAGAAGTGAATGAAACCACAAATATCTGTATTTATTAAAGAGAAAAGCTGCTGAGAAGCCCTTACCATACACCCATGCCTCAGCATGTCAAAGGCATGCATCAAAGCATATTTCAAAGTCTGCCATAGTGCAGACTGAAAAAGATTCTGGAAACTCTTGCTTAGAGCCCTGTCTGATTAGGGCAGTTGCTGTGATTCAGTTGCTGCTGAAACACCAGATAAAATGGCAAAACACAAGGAGAATGTCCTTGAGCTGCTCTCCCTGCCTCCTGTAGCCGTTACACAGGCGTGTGTAATTTTGGGCATCGGTATTCTGCACTCTGTTAGAGAACAGCATGACTGTAGTCAGCATAGAGGCTCTTTAGGACTAAAGGTGGACGATGGACATTGTGGGGGATGATCTCATGTAGCTAGATAGGGGCAGATTTAAATCCTCTGTATAACCTGTTGCTTGTGACCAAGGCCATCCACAGAGGTGTGTGGGCCACGATAAATAAAAATCTGTTACAGTGAAGGGCCTGTGTACACCTTGCTATTGCATATACAGAGTTCAGGATGAAAGTTGTGGTAAACGAAAATATTTTCTGTGCTTTTTGTCAGAAGGGAAAGATGCAAATGTTCCCATCTGTGTTGTGCATAGCAGTCTCTGATTGACAGTTTCTGCAGATTTTTCTGTTCAGTTCTATTAGACATTTGGAAAAAAAATATATGTACTTTTACTGCACTTCAGTTTTCAAACATGTCCTTGTAAAACACGAATGTCAGATGCTTGAATGTGTTTTTCTGAATAGAACAGCAAGATCAGAGTCAAGGAACCTTTTGTACTGTCTTAATGAGTCATAGTCATATATACAGTTAATAACTTGTGAATAATTTGTGCATGAATCACATTCGTAGCATATATTGATGAACCGTTACCTATGTTTTTATATTTTCAGTGTTTCTTATGGAAGCAAGCCTTAAACAGTCACACTCTTTATCAGTTCTGATCCTTCATTTTGAACCTATTGGCTGGTTTGGTGAAACATAACAGAAATGTTGATAAACTATTGTAGGTTTCATGATAGAAACCTGGATAGAGGAGAAGGACTCTGGCGGGGGATGATGTTACAGTTAAATTTATGCCTTGCTAGATGGAGAATCTACATGGGGAAAAAAGCTTTGCATAAATGCTTCAGTGGTAAATATCCTTCGGCCTTTGGTGCATATGCCTTCTGAGACAGCAAAGCCACAAACCACTGAGTCAGTAGAAAATCAGTCTCACTTAGTTCTTATTTCAGTGAAATTACTTTCTGTTTGCTGATTTTATTTACTGGTTTTATATGCTCTTTACCTGGTATTCCACAACATTAGTAGCCCTCAAAGCACTCTCAGGCCACATATGTGTGATATTAACAATATTTGTCTCCACAGGCTTGATCTTCAGAATTAGTTTGCCTCAATTTAGATACTTAAATTTGAATTTACTGCCTTACTTAATTTGAAGGACTTTATAATAAGCATTGAGTTATTTGTGTGCTAATTAACATCCCCTCAGTTATTGCAGAAAATGGATTATTTTTGTCTTGGTTTTCAGTTCACACAAAAATGTGAACCGGGTCCTGGAGAGACATAAGAATGATGCTATGTTTTGATGGTTTAGCTGTCTGTGAATAATCCAATGTAAGTGTTGAAGATAATCTAGTTGAATTGCTGAGAATTTTCCTCTGAAAGAAGATAAACTTGAAAAATAGAGCCAATTATGATGCGTGCTCCTACCAGTGCCTGTGCTGGTTCAAGAATTGCATTTTAAAAGGTGTTCTTGAATAAATTCTTGAATAAATTATTCCCAAGCCGTAGCTTGCAGGATGAGTTCAGAAGTGCAAACTGTGTGCAATTCATTCAGATCCTTGCGGAGCTTGGAGGCTACTGTTGATCTGTGTCATTT